CCCCCTGCCCACCCTCCCCCCAGGCGCCCTCCGCCGGGCCCGCGTCGCCCAGGGGTCCGGAAGGACGCGGAAGGAGGCGGGTGGAGTTCCTCCCGGCTGATGTTTTAATTACTTATTAGCCACTACACTCTCTGCTCTTAGGACAACCACTCGCCTTTGAACAGAGCCGGCCCCTGTTATTACCGGTGCTCTGCGAGGCCTGAGGTTGCGCCTCTGCGCCGGGCGCCGCTTCAGACGCAAGGACGGTACTTTTCCCTGGCAGCCATCACGCTTTCCGCAGCGCCCGGGAGCCGCGGAGGCAGCCTCGCGCGGTGGGCGTGGGGCCCGGTACGGTGATGTCCGCGCACTGCAGATGCGGACGTCGAGGCCGAGAGCGACCAGGCCGCTCCGCGTGGCTGGGGAGGGCATCCGGGGGCGCACGACCAGTGATCTCCAATCTGCGAAACCACTGATTTCCAACCCGTTCGGCCAAGAAACGCTCGGACGGGAAATCAACGTTGCCGCCTTGTGGGTCCAAATAAAGGCACTGGGTCCACAGATACCGTGTTTGGTTCCAGAGCCAGCGTCGCGCACGTCCTAGCTGGGTGGCCTGGGGCAACGACTCCGCCTCCCTGGAAGTTCAGAGCCCCCGCCTGTTAAACAGAGGTAATAACGCATCCATCTCACCGCGTGTGAGGATCCAGGAGCGCGTGAGCACCTGCTACCTGGCCTGTCATTGGTAAACTGAGAGCTGGTTTTTAAGTAGGCACTGACTCTCTATTCCAAAGGCCTGCACAAATATTCCCGACTCTGAGAATTTTTGGAGTCCCAACTTTCCTCTGAATCACTAGGCCTTTTCTCCTCTGTTAATGCTACTGACTTTTTTGAGTAACTGTGGACTCCTAAAATGGGCCCTATTTTACAAATGTTTCTCGATGATGCATTTCTCCAATACCTACTACTCCCACCCCCCAGCCTCAACCAGTTTATCGTTCTCTGCCATGAAAGGGCGGCGCTGTAAAACCCTTGCAGATAAACCTCCAGGCCCACTTCCTTTGTTGGACAGTTATATTAAATGTAACCTGTCAAAACTGTTTTGGTCTGTCTTTTTTCAGTTTCCCCCCACCCCCTCGTTTTTAGTGTATGTTTAAATATTTTGCGCTCACAGTTGCCAGGTCTGGGAACTCTTTACTCCAGAGACTGAGAGATTTATAACAATCAGAGCGGCCAGCCACCTACCTCCCAAGGCAGATTAACAGCCAGGGTGAGTTGGAGGGGGTTAGAAATTCAAACAATGCTGCATAGTTTAGTTTGCTCTCTGGAAATAGTAGATGAAAAGCAGGTTATCTAGCAAGACCCTACCTTGGTAATCACCTTGATTTCCCTTCCTGCCAAGGCTTAAATATTTTTTTTCAAATACAATGATCTAATCTCTACTGAGTTCTCGGAGACTTCTCAAAAACAGTTGATCACTTGTGAAAATATGCTAATCAGGAGGGAAAAAAACCCTGCTGATCTAAAGAGGGGAAAAAAGAGGAAGGGACAGCACAAGAGAGAGAGAGACCACAATGAGATGAAACCTTTTAAGATGATGAGTAAGCCGGAAATAGTTATAGGAACCCATTAAAAGCCACAGCAGCAGAACTACATGGAACTGGCTTATTTTTACCACAGTGCAAGTATCTTTAACTTCATTAGTTTGGTGGTAACTGAAAAAGGTTTGAAAGTGTCAGAATCAAAAGAAAAAAAAAGATAAAAAAGGTGTCAGAATCTAAAAAATAAAGGAGAAAGACACAATTGATCTTGAAACCATAGAAACAAACAGAGTTTGGGATTAAAGAGAAATAAACCAGCAGAGAAAAAAAAGATAACATGAGTACAACATAGTGTTTTGTTTTGTTTTTTAGGAAGAACTAAATCCACTCAGTTTTCCCTAATCATAAGAGGGAATGATCCTAAGATAAGGAATTCTCACTATTAACAAATTACTGTGACCTGACCTACTTAGAAGTCTGTTCACAAGAGGTATTCTAAACACTGTGTAAACGCTGGGATTACCTAGGGGTCAGTCTAGGTTATGTACACCTGTTTCACTTCAGTAACATCCAGAGAACACTGATTTACAAAGTTATGATCTTGGTGGGTGAGTACGTAAATTTGCACTGAATAATCTCATCACATGGACATTATTAGCACTGAAATATGGTCTCTAGATAGAGCCCTGTGTAGGTTGATGTATAGTTAGTTAGAGGCAAACAATTTTATTAGGGCTTTTTGGCAATTCTAATGGTGCTTGCAATTAATAAACATTGAATCCGGGGGCTTAGATGTATAGTTGTCTCTTTTATCTATCTGGGCTTAGATGTATAGATGTCTCTATCTTTTATCTATCTTACCTGTTTTAGAGGAGGCAGATTTTGTAATTGTTAAATTGGTATCCTAGTGCTCCACTACTTATTAAGTGTGTGGCCTTCGGCAAGTTATTGAAACTCTCTGAGCCTCAGTTTCCTCATTTGTTAAACAGGGACCGCATAGGCTGTCATGAGGCTGAAATGAGGGAGCTGGGGGGGGGGCGGAGAGGAGCACAGGCTCTGGTGTTAGTCAGATTTAGATAGCTATGCACAGAAAGCTGTAGAGCTTTGGTTGAATTGTTTTTCTTCTATAAGCCTGTTTCCCTCTCTATAAAATGAAATAATGCTACTCACTTCAAAGGTTATTGCAAAGATGAAAAGAAAGAAAACATGTAAAATGCTTAGCACATAAGGCATAAGTATTGGTTCCCTTTCCTTTCCTCTTGCTTTCTGGAGGCTTTTTACTTATTGTATCAAGGAAAGCAATCCTTTCAGCACTACTGAGGCAGCAAGACAGCTTGCCTAAACTACATACAATTGATAAGTTGGATTTTTTTTCTCTTTAAAATAGCTCCCATCAGTTTCAGCTTAAAATTCCCCATTTGTTCAGCATTCATACTTACTGATGACCCAAGAAAGCAGTCAAATGGAAAAGGCTGGGGTGGGATGAAAGAATCTTGAAACTGCAACCAATTTTTGCACCTGATAATGGAATTCCCCTGAAGGTCTATAAAGATGTGCATAAAATCGGGAAAAACCAGCTGTCGTGTGGCTGAGCAAGTTACACATTGTGCTGCCAAGAATAGGAGAAGTGAATGTGAAGTTTTGCTCCAACCCGCATGATTCGAGGTGTGTCAGGGCCTAGCTTTTCCATGAAGACTGCTCTCTGCAAAAAGGCACCCTGGGCTTCCCCTGTGCCCCAAGAAATGACGGTTCTGGTCAAAGAATGAAAGTGACATTTGACTTCTGAATGTTTTGCCAGGTCCCAACTTGATCTCTAATTCCTTATACTGTCTTTACAGAGGTTTTTGGTTTGATATAGAAAAACAGATGGTTGGGCCGGCCGAGTGGCACGTTGGTTAGGAGTTGGCTTGGGACGCCAGCTCTGAGCATTAGGGCCCCGGTTAGGATCCCACATGAGGGCCAGAGATGCTGCGCTCATCAGAGATGCTACAGCTAAGATGGTGAATAACAGCTGGACCTGGAGCTGGGCTGCTATGAGTTGCCGGTAACCACATAGGCTGCAGTGGAGCTGCAGTGGGCTCCCATAAGCTACCATGAGCGGCCGGCCGGCAGCTGGCATGAGCTGTCAAGAGCCGCCATGAGCGGCCATCCAGTGGCCTGCAACCGATCTGCCTCACCCGGAAAGAGTGCAATGATAATACCAACATGGGCCAGTGAAGCGACATCCTCCACAACTAGACTGAAGAACAAAAGGACAGCAACTTGTCTGTTCCCCTTTCCTGATTCCCCAATGCTGTTCCTCTCCCCCAATTAAAAAAAACATCTAAAAAAAAAGAAAAACAGATGGCGATTATACCTTATGACAACTGGAGAGTATTAAAACCCATTGATTGCTTAAAAGATTTCTGGAAACTTCTAAACTGATAGCAAATATTAATCGCACTAGGTTCAAATTACACATTCTGCTACTGATGGCAACCTTTAGTGCAGTGGTTCTTAACCTTTCACAGGGGTCGCCTAAGCCCATCGGAAAACACATATTTTCGATGGTCTTAGGAACCACTCCTCTATCTGTCTCCAGGCCCACATGCAGATACGCCCACATACAAGTACCTGGCGATCCCTGTGAAAGGGTCGTTTGACCCCCAAAGGGGTCACGACCCACAGGTTGAGAACTGCTGCTTTAGTGGATCCTGCAAAGTTAGAGGAAACAGAGAAAATAAATGCACCTAAGAGAATAAGACTAAAAGCCAGGTTTAGGAGATCAGTTTTTTTCAGCCACTCCAGGCCTTTTCAGTCAATACCTTACAGTTTAATGCCCCTTTGAAAATGTTGCCAGGGAAAAGCAGGCATAACTTGTTCTGTTACTCAGCTGTCTGTTTCCAGTTACAGTATCATGAGCATGCAAATAATCTTTCCTTGAAACTCTACAATCATGTGCCTAAATATAATTGCCAACATGGATTTCACAGAGTTTGAAAAATAACTGTCTAAAAAACACTTTAAATCTTTGTAATTAGTGTTCCCTTTCTTATTTCTCTAAATTGCAAACTAATGACTGGCACAATATAGTTTTCAAATACCTGAGTGAAGATATTCCTCTCGGCAGATACCATTGGTATGTGACCCTTTGAAGGTCACATAATAATTCCCAAGTGAAAAGAAGCAAGGAATAAGAACCCAGCTTTAAGCCTCTGTAAAATTGTTTTTCAGAAACTAAAAGACAGAAAGAAGTCTTGTTTTTATAAACTAAAAGTTTGACCACTATTGTATTATTAAATGAAATTAAGACTATTCCTGATCATTCTGTTTTTAGAATCTCATTACATTCAACTTTCAAATGAGATTCTCATAAATGGTACCTCACTTTAAGACAATACAATGCACTGCAAACTGCCTTTAAAAATAAAACTGCATGTAAAAAATCACCTTTTCCTTTAACAACTAGTTTCATACTGAAGTGAAATCAGTTAACTGTCTTTGGTATTTCCTTTTGATACCTAAAAAAAAATATCACTTATTTTATATTCCTACTATCCTCTTTCAAATTGACTTTTAAAATTTCTCTAGCATTTCATTTGATAACACATTAGTCACTCAGATTCTGGGCTTTTTTGAAAAATTAAAATTATAAGAATCAGACATCATGCGTGGTATAGTGCAAGGTGCATCGATCAATTCTAAAGCAGATGAGGTTCCAGTCCTGGGGTTCCTGGCTTTTATTTTCTCTTGCTTAAATGATTTCACACAGAGCATGTATGGCAAGCTAAAAAGGAATCTAACTAAATAAATCTGGCTAGTCTATTGTCAATTTCAATAAGCATATTCTTCTATAACTCTTTGATAAAAAATGGTGAGGGGGAGGAACCAACTACAGAATCCTTCCATTAAAGATCTCCCCAGAAAGCCCACAGATTAGAAGCAAGGAAATTTTCCACACAGAATTAAGGGGAAAACGTGAGACTCTAACTCTAGTGGTCGTATGAAATAGCACGAGGCACTATAACACACTAGTTACAAGGTGCCATGTGATTCCCAGCTCAACCTGGAACAAATGACTTAATTTCTCAGAGCCTCAGTTTGCTTGCCTGTAAAGTGGGGATAATGCTTAATACTCACCTCCTACCTCATTAGATTGTTCCAAGGATTAAATGCAGTAATACGCACAAAAACCCTAACCAAGTGCATATGATAAGGGCTTAATAACTCGTAGGACTGCAGCCATTTTGTTTGACATTTTAGTGTGAAATGCCTAAACAAAAACAAAAACAAAAACAAGGGACCAATGACAAGCCAGGAACTTGATACTTTTCCACCGGGGTCAACGCCGCTCGTGAAATCTGCCCAATCAACGGCCAGACACGGCGCTGTAGCCAGTGCAGATCCCCCGCCCTCGGAGACCATGGGTGTCCCTGCGGTCGGATCGGGTCCCGCAGGCCCACGGTCGCTTTCAAAACTCGGCGGGGTGTTAGGGTTGCCCGGAACGGTCCCTGCCAAACCATTTTTTCCATACAACCGGCCAAGGGTCCCCACTGGGGTGTTTCCCCCTCTTTGGCCAAACCGAAAGTCCGCACAAGGGAGGCCAACTGAATGGCCCCTGGGCGGTCACCTTCGGCCCGTCGGCGACTTTCCGGGCCGCACGCTCCAGGGAGAAGGGCCACACACATCATTTAGCTAGCCGCCGAGGCCCCCCCACTTCCAGGCCCTTCCGGCGGCCGGCGCCCTTTGACCCCGGAAGTGGGCGGTAGAGGAAGCAGCTGGTGATGTTGGAACAAACATGGCGGCCCCTGCGCCTGTCGGCCCCTCGGGCCCCCGGTGTCCTCGCCTGGTCGCGGGCCTCCGGCTGTTCCTATTGCTGGGGCTGCTGCAGATGCTGGCCGAGCCCGGCCTGGGCCGCGTCCACCACCTGGCGCTCAAGGTAAGGCCGGCGAGGGCCGGGCAGGGCCGGGCAGGGCCGGGCCGGGGGGCGGAGGTCGGGGCCGCGCCTCCAGGGCTGGGGGCAAGCTTGACCCGAGGGAGGGTGGCTCTGAGCTATTGCGCCCCACCGTTGTCGCCGAGCGCAGCCTCTCTGTGAGAGGGGTCTGTTGGGACCTGTGGGAATGGCGGGGGTCCTCGGGCAGCCTGGAAGGGGCAGGAGGAGTCCAGCTGGCCGAGGGGAAGGGGCTGACCTGCGGCGAAACCCCGAAGGACTCGAGGGGCCGCGCTTGCCATCCCTGCTGGCCCCCCCGGGCTCCTCGCGGATCGCACCCTGCTCTTCCTCCTCCCCCTTCACCTCCAACTTTTATCCCCGACTTGGCTTGTCCGCGGTCCCCGCTCGTGCGTCCGCCCGTGCCTGCCGGGACGGCTTGGAGATACGCGGAACCTTGGCCTCAGTTTCCCGGTTCGGCCTAGGGCTCTGTCTCTGGACTGATCAACATGGGAGTGTCCAGGAGGAATTTCATATCTCGCCTGGAATCCATGGCCGAGAATTTAAAACCAGCACTAAACATCAGTTTCTAATGAGAGGGCCTATCTTTTTATCCCTCGCTGCCGTCATTGTCTGTCTAGGGAAGGAGACGTAGGATAGGCCTAGAATGATCCCTTGGGTCTTGCTTTAAAACTCCCAAGCAAAAGTCATCTAAGGCTGAAACGTGCCTCCAGGCGGCTCAGCGGGTTAAAATATCTGGAGAATAGAAAAATAAATGGTTACCACCCAGAGCCTTGTACATTATTTTCATAATAGCAGTTTTCTAAGAAGTCGTGGGATTGTAAAAAGTTTGTCTTATTAAAACACATTACTCTTAGCAAACCATGAAGCGTTACATTTTTGCGAACTTAGATTTTAAAGGATACAGAATCTGGATTAAAAAGCCTGGCCAGACCTATACACCATACTTGGGGATATCAGTTGTTTGTAAATAAAAATTATCATGATTGAAATGGTTCCCAACCGCAGGGAGTTAGGTGAGTCCTGACTCTTTTTTGAGAATCCGCTGAAACGTATAGAACCTCTCCCCAGAAAAGTGCAGGTAGAAATGTAGACAAAGCTTTCTTGGAATTTCTAGAGCTTTATAATTCTGCTAAAGCTTAGGTATAGGCCCTAGCCCCAGGCTTATGACTCCAAGTTCAGAACACCTGATCTTTAAAATTCTTTAATTTTATAGTTTAGGGTCCTGAGTCTTAGATTAAGTAATATCACTGAGTTC